GAAAAAAAAAGAAAAGAGTGTCTTTAAGGATAGGAAAATTAATTTAGGAAGCCACAAGACTTATGAAAAGCTCAACACGCGGTCTTTTCTATTCCGTTGGGTTTTTTACTAAAACAAAGGCTAAGTTCACTAGTTCAGTTCTACTGCTTATTTTGCCTCTTCTTCCTGTGCTGCTTCACAATTACAGATGCACCTACTTTTGCAGGGACTGAGGAAGTGGGAAGGACAGACCGTAGCTATTGATCTGTCAGCAGAAGTGTCAAAATTAGTAAGCCAAACAAAATTAGTGTGTGCATGCATGTTTGATGCCCTTTGATCAACCAAAATATTATGGTTAAAGTCACAGCTACTTGGAAAGCATATTAGAGGCCAGGTGACAGGTAAATCAGTTACCAAGTCTACGATTTCAGTTTTCAATTTTGTATATGAACTTCATTCTGTATTTCATTAAAGGCTCCAGTCAAGTTAGCCATTTGGAATGATACGGCACAGAGAACCAATAACGCTTCACAGAGTCCTTAAGACAGGTTTTCCAGTACTTATTTTCACCTTTGCCACAGGGTAAGAAAATGTGCCAACATGAGTAAGGAAAGGTACCAAAGTGCAGCACTAACAATGGTAGGCACGAGACTCTGCGTATCATCATACTGCATTGCTCTACTGTTAATTCTTCTAACACCATGGCACATTAGGTTAAATAATCAATGCAGCGTAACTTACTTGTCTTTCACAAAGAATAAGTTACCTTAATCAGGCACCACAAGGTAAAGCACGGGCACACTGACAAAGCTACCAGCATGTGCCAAAGCCCCTGGTTTGCTATGCTCAGGCAGAGGAACCTCTACTATAGAGTACACAAATATCCAAGTAAAAAAATTGAAGTTATTCATATGTCGTAAGTGGAGATTGACAATCTCCTTATAATTGCCTTATAATTTGTGCAAATAGCACAGTAACTGGATGTTGTACACTGTGTCACTGTCACGTTCAATATATCTCAGCTTCCAGAAATGAAATTATTTGAGCTTTCAACTCTTTTCACTAAAATATTTCTGAAGAAATATTCTTTTCCCCATACAAATATTTATGGGATAATTTCTTGCTGCAACATAAAGTTTTAAGAAAGTAACTTCACAGCTTATGCATAAGTTATATTTCCTTTTTTTTCCTAGTAGTTGCAACAGTACCAGCTTAAAACCACCTTGCTACAGCACAATTCATGTAAGTAACCTCACTTATTTTAGATTTTTTTATGTTACAGCATATAATAAGTTTGTAAGCAGTAATTAGTATATAGAACAGAAAACTGCTAAAAAGTAATTTCATAACCCATAAATTAGTTGTTTATAAAAGTTCCTCTGAACTACCAGAGAGCACTAGATAGATACTTGTTGAAAACAGTGAAGTTGAAAGGGATATTACTAAGAACAAATAGAATTCAATTTCTCCATTCTTATCCAAGTAAAACACAAGACTCGGCTACATACAGTTCCAGAGAGCACATCATGAGGGCAGCAGTTGAGAAGGTGGCTCTTGCACACTCTGTCATCACTGAACTTGATTCGCTGGCGGGTCGTGTCACCTGCAATATAGAAACCAACACGTCCCAGGTTAGAAATCTGAGGAAGCCAGAAATGTTCTGCAGGTTACATGCAAAGCGTTAACATTGCCCTGTCACCTAGTGAAGGCCTATAGAAACTAGAACTTAACACACTGTAGGCTTCTTTGCCAAATAACACCAAAACCACAAATACATGTTTTAATGCTCTATAATGCTATTTTAAAAACCTTTCACACTTCCCCTTCAAAAATGCAGCATGAAAAGTGCTTGAAACCAGAAAGACAGCACTAGCTTAAAGACACTTTGCTACAACAGCATTTGTTAAATGCGCTAGATAAGGTTCTATTCAGATTTTGCATGAAATACTGATGTATTTGTATGCAACAATTAGCATATAAAAGCAGCCTCATAAACACAAAATGATACACATTGAGCCTTCACCAAATCCCACCTGATATTTGTTTTATGATTTTGCTCTTGGATGCAATGCACCCTCTTACTTCTGATGGGAGTAGCATAAAGAGTTGGCAGAAGAACGATTTTAAATGCTTACAAACCTGAAAAAAAGTCAGTCAAACATACGGACATATCCTATATGCAAAATTATTTTAGAGATGTTTGCATATCTCCGTATCATAAGCCGTATTTTTTTTTTCTCTTTTCTCCATGCTGTTTGTTGGGCTGGGAACATCTTAATTGTATCTTCGTCATGGCAGGTTGTAGCTCCTGCATCAGCAGAAGCATCAACCCGCCCATACACTGAGGTCCAATTGCAAGTTTAAATAACCCCACCTTGGAGCAAGACCTAAAGTCTTCAGAACAAAGTAACCAGCTGGTATTCTGGGGACGAGGGTGGGAACGTGTTTTCCTTTGAGTCATAAGATAATTGTCACTATTCGGGATTCAGAAGAGAGACCACTGCTACAGCTCTCTTGTTAAGACACAGGCATGATAAAACACCTTCATCTCTCTCAGGATGTATCTAGTTATTCATTTTTTAAAACGTTAACAACTTGTTAGAAATCTCTAATCATTGAAAACCTACTGGTGAATTACTGAAGCAAGGAGGGCTGCTGGGGGGAAAAGAAAAGACATACAATCAGTTCAAATAGCAGCCCTTTCCATTTCATCAAATATTTTAAAGAATGCAGACACATTTTGCAGTTAAAGTTTTTTACGGCTTCATGACCTGGAACACTGGGAATTTTTAATCTAGCAAACAATTCAAGAAGCCAAATTCATTACTGAGGTTAACTACAACAGAGGGGAATAAAAAACCCGTATCTTATTAGTCAAGCCTTTCTTACTATTATATAATCAGATTTTTAAATATCAGTTCTATGCATAGGATGCTAATATATAACATTTTCAGATGGGCCAAGTTTCAGATTATTAAGCAAACAAAAGTTTCCAAATACTTCACATGCTTAATTTGCCTGTGGGATACAACAGTTAAAACCTGTAATCCGCAGGCTACAGACAGCTTCAAAGCAGTTCAACAATAGGTTTTCTGGAGGGCGACCTTACTGCTTAGTTATACTTACACTACTAAAAATTTAGAGCAATCCCTTCATAATCATGCCTGCTACTGCAGTTAAGAGTTTCGCTTTTTTTTTTTTTTTTTTTTTGCGCTTTTCAGGAGGTGGATCCATATTTTTTTTTAAACACGTAACTGCGTTTGTTCCACATTCATTAACACATCTGAAAAGTTATTGATAACTCACGGCTCGGCGAATGCGGGGCCTTTCTGACACTCCCTTGCAGATTGATGTAGGCAGGCAAAGATACATTGAACCTTTATAAATAAAACAAGGGGCCAGATTGTTCAGTTTGTATAGAATAATAGACTCTGCCAGCAATTTTAACACAGCATCTAGAAATACATGTTGACCATAAAGATTCTTCTATATAAAGACACATGAACAAAATCAAGAAAAGTATTTAAAAAGATACAGTTGATGGCCCAACAGCACTAACCTATCGGGAGTCAAGGGGTTATTAAGACCAGAAAATTGCCGAAAGACTCGCTGCTCTTTGGATAAAGTTGGCAAGTGGTATTTTCACACACCGTATCTCGACATCTAGACATAGCTATTTTCACACCTCTACCACAACCAGGAACTGCCGCGACAGCTGCAATACAGTCTTTTTCCCCTCTAAGTGGCTACCATGATAATCACAATTACCAAACTGAGAAAAGACAACATAGGGAGGGGAAAAAAAAAAAAAAAAAAAAGTAGTAGAAACCGATCAATGACAACCTCAAGAACATGTTCCACATTTACGCTTTAAACACTCCTCCCCTCTGCACCATGCCTTCGGTCTAGTATTTAAGGCACTTTTTCTGAAAGGCTCCCATACACAGAACATTCGGATATTTACCTTTTCCTTCCTACCAAAAGCAGTTTCATATGTTTGCATTTCTTTTTAATCTATGCTGCTTCAGAAGGAAAAGTTTATCAAAAAGAAAAGGTGTCATATACTATGTCCTAGCAATGACTGAACTTTGTGTCCCTCTGGCAGCTCATTCCCAAGCCTGACAGCCTCCTTTTACCTCTTCGTTAACTTTGTGAGCCCCAATACCCCTAAATAGTGCAGACCTGTTAGCCAAGACAGAAGATACCTTCTGCTTGACTAGGTGATGACCTGGGGTCTACACCAGTTGTGAGAAGGGAGGGCAGAATAAAATCTATGGATCTGCTGTACACCTGACACTCAGCCTACAGCAAAATAAAATTTTGCAGATGCCTTCTAAGAATTAAAACGACACGAACAGACGTGTTCTTAAGCCAAGGACTTCAGCAGTACGTCAGATAACCAAGATGCTACTTCTCTCCGTCAAACTGCACTTGGGTTGATACAATCCTTGTACGGTCAATCAAGTGAATGCTAAACAATGTTTACGAGTATTAAAAAAAGGCTTTCTATATTCTGCAAGAAGAAAATAATATATCTAGGTACCAAGTAGCTGCAGTCATCTAAATTCTAGAAGTGTCCTTAAACACTTACAAAGGGGACATTATCACTGATATTTTAGAGACCTTATGACAAGTTCTGTTTTAATAGGTAAATAATTAAATTAGCTCAGAATAGCAACTTATTTAACCCTGCCTCTGAAGAAGAGCAGAGTATTCAACTACTTGATCTTTAGGACTCATTCTCATTAAAGAAATCAAAGTAATTTACCAGGGCATTACAGTGGTCAACATCTATTACTATAAGCCATCCCTGTATTTCCAATTAGATTTTCTCCATTAAAAAAACCAAAACCAAACCACATGATTCATGAAATGTATATGGAGATACAGAAAAAATAAATTAATTTTTCCTCAAGAAGCAGCAGCTTTGGTTTTACTTAAAGCACCTGGCCCAAACCACATTTCTATAAAAGATTACTTCCCAGATGAATGGAGAGCTTTGAAACAGAATTGAAATCATTCAGGAAAAAAAAGCCAAACATCAAGGAAATTTCTACACTTGCACATCTCGTATCCTTCATAAGCATAAGGAAACTGCATACTAGAAACACAAATATTAAAGAGATGATGGCAGTAACAGAAACTTTCTAAAGGAAGTTTTCCAGTTTGTATTAAATATGCTGATGACAAAAGTAACATCAATATTCAAGACCAATGCATACTGCCGATTAAGGAACTTCCAGAGGTTAAGATCACAATGTGCACTCGTACTATACAATTCACTTTGACCTCCCAAGTCTAACCTATTAACAAGCCTCCACAATGTCATTCCTGTTCAGTATATTTTAATCACAGACCAGCACAATGAACACTTATGTATCAACAATGCTTGGCATTACAACACGCTTATAACAATGATTTATTTGATCCAGCATCTCTGACTATTCTGATGTATCCTAATACACTACCAACCGCAATCCCAGTGCATTGATGAGAATTACCCTTCACAACCCAACTGTAACCTCTAATCGCAAACTACCGCTGCAAGTCATGCAAAGACAACAACATGCATTTTCATTTTTGTGCTGTCGACTTCCTGCATTAAGCTACGCCAACCAAAACCAGTTGGCTTTCCACTCAAATTGTTGAAGTGTGAGTCCCGACGTGTTGGCAAGGGACTCCGAAAGTTTTGCTCACAAAGAGCTACTAACTGGGTGGGATATCAGGTTAAAGACCGCGTATGAGCAAAGTAAGCCCTGTATAACAAGTATTCAACATCGTAACTTAATTGAGGCTTATGCAGTCACTGAACGAGCAGCTAATTCTGATATTCTTGTCATTAACACTGGATGCATCTTTACCATTACACCTTTAGAATAACACATTTCTAAGCAGGATTGCTTCTGGTTTACACTACAACTGAATCAATACTTGCGAATGCAGAATATAATGAAACCATTTTATAGCTAACGCATTACAAGTGGAATGAATATAGGAATGCTTTTCTACGAAGTATGAGTATGGCCACTTGCTTCTTCATAAATGCCATTTCATATGGTGTCCCAAATCCAGAGTAGAAAAATTCCTCAAGTCCTTCACTGTTCGCATCAATTTTACAGGCTAAAGTACCAGAACTTTGTAACGAAGCCAGCAAATACACAGAATTCACTAAACACGATCATTGCTCTTAAAGCCTTCTCATCCCTCCTGATTGACAAATAAAGAATCTTTTCATAGAGTTTACGTGTTGCTACAACTTTCAGATTTCTGAGCTGATATCAATTCAAAATTTTGGGTGGGTTTTGCAGAAATTTGTGTATACGAGATCCTTTTTTCTGCCTGTGCTTTGCTGCTGATTCATATTTGAAAGAAGAGCTCTTGGAGGAGGCTCTTGGCTCCCTAACCTGGCTCTCAGCCTGAAGCTACCCAAATGGCGAGCAGTCTTCCAGTAATGGACCACAAATTATTGAAACTTCAAGAGCACATACTACCTTCCACCTCCAAATGTAAACCAAAGTGGAAAACAAAATCTACGTACCCTGAAAATGCCAACATCAACCCACCACCTACCCTTAAGTACACAGAGAACTCTTCAATAATCCCATATGGAAACAAAGAATTTAAAAATAGGTTACAAGTTCTAGATTATACCTCTGTTACCTTATAAAGCGTGTCACCAAACACAGGATGACTAAGATAAGCACAGGGGTGTCACTTCAACTCCTCCCAAACAAGGAGGACAGAAAAGTCACACATGAGTAACCACTACTAAGGGTAACTGAAGTGACTAGTGTAAAACAGAAAAACTGATTAAGACATGAATAGATGCAAAAAAGGGTATTTTCAGTTTCCATGCCAGAAGAAGATGATCTAGAACGGGAAAAGTGCTTTGCTGGTAACAGCTAAAGAACTGATTTAAAGACTCCAAGCACAGCAGTTCAGCTCCGAAAGCTCGCAGGTGAAGCAAAAGAGACTGGCACGTCATACTTATGGATTCTGTATATCTAAAGGCTCCAAAGATTTTCCTGCTAGTCACACAGCATAATATTTGTTAGGACACTTGGGAGAACATTTTCATGACCACATGTAAGTCTCAGAATCAGGCACAAATTTACCTGTCTTTTAAGAAGAATCTAATTACCTTTGCTAGTTTTTTGTATTTCTAGACTATAACCTAATTTTGGTGTAGTGGCAATTATTAAAAAAAGCCTAGGCCACCACCACATTTCTTTGCAACAGTCAAGTCTTAGCAGTTTCAAGATGTTGTGTTGTTCCAGGCCCATTCGGATCTGCTCCGTGTCTGCACTACCGTCAGGAGTGACGATCCCGATCCTGCTCTCCCCTCTGCTTCTAGCCCATTCCTCACACTGACTCCAGCACAGTCAGCAAGGCAGAGCCTGCTGCCACGGACCTGGCAGAAAACAAACCAGTTGAGCAAGATAAGCTGATTTAAGATAAAAATGGGATCTTTACAACCAGGCCTTTTAAAGAAAACTTCACAATCTTTGCTCATTTCAGCTATATTCTAAAAAAAAAAAACCAAACCCCAAAAAACCCCAAACAAAAAAAAAAACCAAACAAAAGAAGCAACACCACAAAAAACACCCACACCCAAAAATTCCTGGGGTACTAACATCAGTTGTTAACATTTCACTCAATTTGTAAATGACTTTTTAAAAACAGTTATGATCCTATTTGTAAGGATCACTCCTGTTTTCTAGAGAATGGAGATAGCAAAACCAGGCTTTACCTACGCATAGTATTAAAAAAATGTTTAATCCATTTTACAGTTGAAAAATAGTATTTAAAAAAATAAACCCCACACTTTTCTATCAGCTTATTCCTAATACTTCTGAGTGACAAGTTCCTGCAGCTCTGGTCATCAACAATAAATTCAACTTGAACTAACCTTTTAGCTACTGACGTATGTAATAGGAAGTCCTTAGTTTAACTGCTAACAGTAAAAAAACAATATGAAGAAAACTTTTCTATGTAAGTCGATAGCACCTGGTCTTCAGCACTCCTTATTTCTCAATATTAGGGAAACTCACGCTATGTATTCAGTAGTTTCTATTTAAGCCTCTCTATTTAAGTATGTCAGGTTATCAGTACTTGGAATGACATACTTCAGAGATTTTTTTCAAGCTGCAGCCATGACTATTAAATTAGTCCAGCTTTTTACTAACATCAAAATCTAAGCCACTTTTTTTTTTTTTTAATGTTGGCACGGTCCACATCCAATTCAGTTTTCCACTTCTTGTCAGAGAAGCGTGCAAGAGAAGTTTCAGTTAAGCATATCTAAAGTATTTAAAAAAAAAACCAAACCCACTTGTTTTTAAATAATGTGGTTTTCCAGGT